GGGCTCCACGCTGCCTCCACTTGAAATACTCCGTAAAGCTTTGGGAGCTGAAATATTCCTTCTTCCTTTTGTGAAGTTGGTCATTTTGAGTGTGAAGTGTTTTCCCTTTTCCTTCCCTCCAGAAGTCCTGTGGTTGAAGTTAGGGATGTAGCATTTTATATACATAACTGTGACATTATTCCAATGAAAGAGAGCTTTTCAGGGAGAAAGGACATAGGACTCTGAGAAGATGAGAATCACTGACTCCCTGGCTTTCAGTTGATCCAGGGCCAGGGATGTGATGACAGAGAATAAAGTCAACCAGTGCTTCGTTGTAACTGACTGTTGATAAGTAGCAAGGCCCACCTCAGGGTCTGGTCTTTTGCTCCTGGCTCATCCATTGCCAAATCCATCTCCAAAGAGGTGTCTTTGGAGACTGAATCTTTAGGACTTGGTGAAACCCGCATCTGCCGGCTGTAATCAACATGCTATTTTCCCAAATGGTGGGACTTAGAGAGCCAACCCAAAGTGACCCCATCTTCTTAGTCCTGGCTCTCTGGATTCTCTGCAATTCCATTTGCCTTAGAAAATGTTAATCTCTACAGGGAGTCTTGAAAGCCACCAAGACTGTTGGTGGCACTGATGGCACTCCATTGGAGGAGCTCACTCTCGGGTGGACACCAGCATGGACTTTTACTCCAGTTGCTCCCAGGTAGATTGTCATTTCCCCCAACTCTTGATGTCCCTGGAGCTTTGAGAGGCCACAGAGCTTGGTTTAAGACTTTCCCAGGTGGCTTTTCCACAGTGTCCCTGAAGATTGTCCCTGTGTTTTCGGATCTTGGGTCATTCACCCTCCAGCATGCATGTGGATTTCAGCCTGAGAAACCCACACTTTCATCTTTGGGCCTCCATGTTTTAAAGATATTCTCAAGCTGCCCACTTGATGGGAGACCTCACTGCAAGAACTCTGTGGTCCTTCCCTTGGAGCTCAGCATCAGCTGAGTAGTAGCAGTTGATAATGGGGCCTGGTCCTCCCTGGCTTCCCAAGAGCTGGCGATTTTGAAGGACCCAGCAGGAGCAGAGCCCTGGGCGTGGCTGAATTGGATCCCCTGTAGGCATTCTCAGCGCTGAGTAGTGTTTGATACATCATTCACATTGACGTGCAAGGCCCTAGAGTGGGTTGCTGGCGATGGTAGAGCCACCTTATTGAAATGGCATGTTAGCATTTAAACAATATTAATACTATTTGACTCATTAAATATACAAAAGCCAGTTAAAGTGCTTCCATGTGTGTGCTGTTAGTTCTGGCGGGTGACTCCTCAGATGGCTTTATGTGGTTTCAGACAACATTTTAGCACATTCTTAAAATACCCACAAAAGCCTTTATGTAAAAACTCATAAATTTGAACCACATAAAAATTATTTTTTTTCCTGTTTCATGTCATTATGATCAAAGTACAGTAGGTAAGAATAAATTTTCAAAAACTTGTTGAGGTCCCTCTTTAATTAATGCTTCACTCACAGAGCAAAGCCATAAACCATGTAATGGGGGGCTGTCTGTATGCCCTGCGGTCACCTCGCCGACTGTGCACGCTGCTGTCCTGACAGCACTTGTCGGAGATGCTGGTGTTTCTGGGTGACTCTGAAACAGCCCATTCTGATCACTCAGTCCTTTGCTCCCTTTGTCTCGGAACATCAGGTTGAGACTTGCAGCCACTCAAGTCCTTGGAGATCCCTTTTGGTGGCTGGAATGTGAGGCTATTCCTGAGTCTGGTGTTGGGGCTGTATCTGCGGAGGCTGAGTTTCAGCATGTCCCAGCCGCCTCACCTCAGTTGGGAACACCCTGATTGGAAGAGGAAACAGATTCAAATTGAGATCAACAGCATTGCCTCTGACTCTGCTGCCATCATTTCTTTATTAAAAGAAATGGACTATAAATTAGGATACTTCCTAGTGCAGTACTATCCCAGCTATTAAAAGCAATTATGGAGATCATGTGGCTCTATGGAGAAGTGCTAATGACTGCATGCCAAGTGAAAAAAGGCCGGACTCAGCACAGTACTATTTTTCTGTGCTTATGGTTACATAAAAATTACACATCGGACAAAGACTGGAAGGGAATTTGGAAAAATCAGATTTATGGGATAAGTTGATATATTGTACTATGGGCTAATTTTTAAATTTACTTTATCATGTTCTTGTAATTTTTTTTTAATTTGGGAGAAAAGAATATTAAACCGCATGGAGGTCAGAATTGAGTTTGCATTTTTACCTCCTTTGTCTCCACCATTTTGGGAGTTGCTGCTGGTCTGTGTGGCCCACAGCGGAAGCTGCAGATGCCAGGGAGAAGCTGCCCAGAGTGGGAGCCGGGCCACGGGGTGGGACGCTGGAGTGGAAACAGCCAATTCCACCTTATAAAACATTAATGCTGTCATCTTATTTTTCCGGAAGAAAACAAATCTAAGGGATGGGACTGAGGGCGCTCAACAGCGGGCCACCTGGTGCTTCTGAACTGGTCCCTGGGTGGTGTCGACAGGGCTGTCAAGCCACCAGGATCTCCCCTGTCTCCTTTCCAGGGCAGCCTGACCTGCTTTCCCTGGTGTTCTGGCACATGGAGGGCGGCAAGCCTCTGCCGAGAACAGCACTGCTCTCTGTTTTGGGGAGACGCCTGAGGATTGGGGCCACAAGCTATGCGGGGGCGGACGGATGACAGTGCCCACTCGGCTTCAAGCCTTCGTTCCAGGATGGCCAATGGGAAGCAGGGATTATTGGCCCATCCTTTCTGCCGGCACAGGAAGCGTCACGGTTTTTAAAGGTGTTTTTGCCTTTCGGTGTGGGCTGCTCTCCCTATAAGCAGACTAAAGGGGAAAACTTTATGTTGGAACCAACAGGACAGGCAGTAGTGTTGGGTGCTGCCTGGTGACCTGTGATCCAGGAGTCACCAAAATCACCAAGACCACGAAGCCAGAAAGGCTCCTGGCCCCTGCTGCAAGCTCCTCCGGAAGGCTGCCATCTGAAGCGGCAGAGCATTCCAGGACAGCCCTCGGGGAGGGAGGCAGAGCCTCTGGTCTAGACCTGAGCACTTACCCTGTGTCCCTCCCCCGCCTCGGGGAGGGGGGTTTGGAGAGAGATTTGGAACAAGAGCAAGAACCTTCATGAGTGCCAATAACGGCTCTTCCCCGGAGGCCAGCCGGGATGGCACTGGTCTGGGCCCCCACAGGTGTGCCAGTTCGCCCCTTGTGCTTCCCCTGGCTGCACCTTGCCCATGCATTTGTCTGGAGCCAGACCACTCCCCACCTTCCACTCGGACCAACACAGCCCCAGGGCTGGCACTGCCATCCATCTGCCCAGAAGAACCTCACTGAGCGCCTCCACTTCTCAGCCCTGGCAGGCCCACCCTCACCTGCCTGTGGGGCCGGGGAAGCTGTGAAGTCATGAGACAGTTTAATCACAGTGGATGGTGCCGGGTGGAGAAGAGGGGACAGGATTTGATGGGGGCAGCAGTAGGCAGGCCCCAGTCTGCTGAGGGCTCCTGGGAGGGAGGGCGGAGGGGAGCTGACCTTGGGGTAGATGGGCCCCTTGGGCCCTTCAGCTCCCGAAGCGGAGGCTGCTTTCCCAGTCTGCTTGTCCCTAGGTCACACTCTGCTATATAGCACATCCCAACATTTATACAAAAACTTTTTAGTTTGAAATAGTTTCAGGTTTACAGTAAAATTACCCAAGAAAGGTTACAAGGAATTCTTATATGCTCTTTACCCACATTCTCTAAATATTAACATTTACCATTGTATGTAACAGCTTTATGGAGATAAAATTCACAGACATGTTTGTTTAGTACTTGTCTGACCAAAGATTATTAATTTTAATAACAAAAACATTTACTTTCCTATGTTGTTTTGTCTCTCAACAGTCCTATAAAGTAGATACCACTGTCCCTGTTGTATAAAGAAACGAAGGCCCAATTCACACAGTTGGCACCTGGCAGTGTTTCATAAATAGCTTTTGGAAAAAAAGGGCCTGAACATCGCTGGTAACTGGGGGTGGCGGGGCCCATGCCTGTCTGGCCCCAGGCTGCCTACCGGGCCGTCATACTCACGTGTGAGGTCGAGCCTCCTAGTGAGTCCCAGAGTGTGCCCGCTGCACAGTTGCTGTGGGGTTGATTGGGGTCAGAGAGGCTGCACACTCTGGTAAGGCACCTGCTAGCTGCCGGACACTTTTACAGTTTGCGCAGCAGAACTTGAGGCCCACGTGAGCTGGTAACCAACCTTTCTGAGTTCTTGGAGCTGTGCAAGGCAGCCTCACTCCATCAGAGCCACCGGCCTGAGTCTCTTGGGTTTGGGGTCCAAGTCTGATTTCCCTTCTGCCTCTTTTTCCTTCTTGTATTTCATTTCATCTTAATTTGAAATTTTTCCATATTGACTCTGGCCTGGAGAGGAAGCTCCACCCCAAGCTTAGCACCTATTTCTGGCTAGAACATTACAAGAAGCTGCTGTGAAAGACCAGCAGAATCCCTGTGTGCCCAGACCCTGGAGGGTTCTAGGTGGAGAGGAGTTTGTTGCTCTGTTTTTGTCTCTTCTTCTCCCCTATAAAATAGCCATCGCCAAAGAGAGGAATATTGAACAGTAGTGATTACTCGATAGTAATGACGCCCACTGTGTGACTGTTTTATGTCACACACTTTGCTGGATCCTTCATCTGGGAAGTTTAACAAGTTTCCCAAAGACCACAAAGCTAGAGTAAGTGGCAGAGCTCAGACTCATCATCTTCGGGACTCCTAAGCCCATGTGCTTTCTGTGCACCGCCCCCACCCCACCCCAGGATGCACTCCCTGCCCAGACCAAACCATGTGGTGATGGGGACACATTCAAGAACCAACCCTGGAACCATTACAGGCCAAGTCCTTAATCCCAGACAGACATGTAGGTGACTCTTTGCTGAATGACAACCCCTGGGACCTAGACTGATGATCTGTAATTGGAAGGGCTTGGCACCTGATGGGCCCGTGGGGCTGTCTCCTACAGATATTTTGAAGGCGGCGTCTCGTCTGTCTACCTCTGGGATCTGGATCATGGCTTTGCTGGAGTGATCCTCATAAAGAAGGCTGGAGATGGATCAAAGAAGATCAAAGGCTGCTGGGATTCCATCCATGTGGTGGAAGTGCAGGTATGGCTTCCCCAGTGCTGGTCGCCCTGGCAGCAGCTCCAAATGCCGTGCCGCACAGTACAGCCCTGTTCTCTAGCAGATGCTTCTTGACGGGGGAAATACTGTGATACGTAAACCCCTGTTAATTCCTAAAAATGCCCCAAAGCCATTTGGATTAAGATAAGTCAAGACTGCAGTAGTCGTTGATGATAAAGAACTGAATACACATGATTGCATATTTGGTCTCTTTAAAAACCTGTTGGGATGTTAAAATAAAGGTAATGTATCAGGAGGGGACCTGTTAGAAGGACACTGAATTCAGGGGGCCGCTTCAGGCTTTCCTCAGCTCAGGGTTGCATCCAGGGTTCTGATCTCTGTCTTGTCCCCCAGGAAAAATCCAGTGGCCGCACTGCCCATTACAAGCTGACCTCCACAGTGATGCTGTGGCTGCAAACCAACAAATCCGGCTCCGGCACCATGAACCTCGGAGGCAGCCTTACCAGACAGGTAGAGTTGCCGGTGCCCATAGGGGCCAGAGCTGACTGTATGTGCAGATGAGCGAGCAGTTGCTCCCCCAGAGGGGTTCTGGGTCAGCTGCTGTGCTGCCCTGCTTGGGTAGGACCTGGAACTCACCACTGGGGAGATAACCCATTCCTTTTCCGTCAGTAACCATGGCATCTGGAATAGGACCTGTCCTCCAGAACGTGCCCAGGATTGCTTTGGGTGGCCCCTCACAACTAAAGGGCCACCTACTGGCACCTCCCCCTCCCTTTGTTTTTCACATGAACCCCTGGGAGCCCAGGGGGTTCCATTCTGTTCTCGTGCAGTCCGTCATTTTAAATTAAGCCTCACATTTTTTTTTAATCCATTTTGCCCGACAGTTATGTTGCATCTTGATTTCAGTCATCCAGGTGTTAGTTGTTCCTTCTGGCTTCAAAAAAGTCTGATAGTCATCTTTCTTAGGGTACTTAGCATCAGACCCCACAGGGTGAGGGCTCAGTCCTACAAGAGAGCCTGCGCTCTTCCCTTCACCCCCCTTACAGAAGCCAGCTGCATCTTGTTACTTGTCGTAACTTCTACTTCAGATGCTAATTTAAGCATCTAAGCAGGTTTAAGACCCTTGTTGAAGGGGCCGTGTTTAGGACCCTTGGCAGCCCCATTCCAAGGGGAGGTTAGTTAGCCTCATGCCAGTGCAGCACGGTGGGCTGCCGCTGTGTGAAGAGACTGCACAGAGCAGGTAGCGCCTGGCCTCGGAGAAGCTGGTGTCCGCAGAAGCACAGTGTCCTCTAGAACTTCTGGAGTTTTCTGGAGGGAGCCTTCTTCCACAAAGAGAATCTTTCCTGTTCTCTGTTCTAGAATGGTTATACTTTCAAGAGCCATTGATTTAAAAAAAACATATGGCAGAAAGGGTAAATTCAGTAACTCTTTTAAGTGGATTTGTATTCTGGTCACAAAAGCATCTACGTATTTTGAAAGTAGTGTGCAAGGCACATGTCTTTAGGCCACCATGCCTGGGATGCATGTTGGAGCCTTAGACTCCATGTAAGAACCCCCACTACCTGTGCCAAGTCAGAGGAGCCTGAAGCACGGAGGATCTTGGGAATTCCTCTCTCTGGCCGCAGGGCAGGGCTATCCCCCTGCCAGCCCAGAACCAAGGCTAGTGCCCACTGAGGCAGATCCCATCCTCTGGCATGGACGTGGGCCCTTGTCTTCCAGGAACCATTGATTGGGGAGGGGCAGCCTCACTCCCCGAAGCAGCCAGTTCTACCACAGCCTGCCTCCCCCACACCCTGCCACCTGGGGAATGGTGGAAAATCCTAAATCTGTATCCGGAGACTGTTTCCTGCATCACTTACTGCTCTGAACTGTTTGTAATTCCACCCAGTTTACAGTGACCTGGGCAAATATTTAATCCTCAGCCTTCCTAATAGTTTAAATCAGAGCTGTCAGCCCATGGCCAGGGCCTGGTTCCGGCTTGCCGTGAGCGGTGCCTGCAGCCAAGCCAAACACAGTCCTGATGAGCGGCTGTCCTCAGCACACCGGCTGGGGCCATGGGCCTTGTTTGGATTGCCTTGTGCTCTTGGGCTTTAATGAGGAAATTCATGCTTCTGTCATCATCCTAACGGCAGGTCACATAACTCATCTGAGGTGCATTAAAGCTGGGGCTGGTTTCCAATGTAAGTAACTGTAAAGGGAGGGGCAGGGAAGCAGTGAGGGAGACAAATCCAAGTTAATGATGCACAACTTCTGAACAAACGGGAAATGAGGGTTGCGGGTTTAGCTATGTGTCCCAGATGAGCCTTGGAAAATGCCCGTGGTTGCCTTAGATGGGAGAGGAAGGGATTCCAGGAAACTTGAGCAAGTCAGTGATAAAGTGTGAATGTGCGCAATTCTGCGGCTGTCTCCTTTGATTAGATTGCAAGCAAGATAGACGTATTCCCCTTTAACAGGTAAGGGAACAGGATCAAATCGTTAAGTTGCCCATGATGACTTGCATAGTAGGAGACAGAGGCAGGATTTGAACCCAGATTTGTCTCTCTGGAAATTAAAAAAACAGGCTCGTTTCTCCTACACTACATTTTCTTGTCTTAACCTGACCCCTGACCTAGCATTCAGTAGATGCTAAATAAACATTTGCAGAGAAATGCACTGAGCAGTTAGCTCGTGTAGACAGGACGCCACCCTGTGGGTAGGTACAGTGACATTCTGTTGGCAGCCCCTCCTCCTCCAATAGCCAGTGTGTGCAGCTGCAGTGGATCTGTGGGGCCAGAGCTGCGGCTCCGTGGAGGGCCAGGCCTCCCTGGAGTGTGTCAGACGCTGCCCGGGGGGTTCCCTCCTTCATTTGGCTCAAAGGTTGGTTCTCCTGTAGGAAGCAGATCCATCACATGGGAGACACTCACCCTCAGAGGCAGTGAGGAGAGTTTTTAATTTGTAGGTAATCAGATGATCTGATCAGATAAATGTTTCCAAAAGATGGTTCTGCTAGTTGGCATGGAGGACAGGTTGGCAGGAGGAGGCTGTTAGAGTTGTCCAGGAGAAAGGTGAGCAGAGACAGCCCCAGGAAGACTGAGGGGACGGTTCTGTGCCCAGGTCAGTGAAGGAGCTGGTGTCAGCTTCAGAGCAGGAAATAACAAAGAACGGCAGGGGCATGGGTGATAAAGAGGGAGGGGGCATGTTGGGAGGCATTTTGGAGTAGAGGACTGGTCAAGGCTTGGGTGTGCCCCCACCCCACCCCCCCAGGATATGAGCAATGAGGGTCCAGCGAGGTTGTCACCACCTGAGCTCCTCTCTGTGCCGAACTGGAAGGGACCCTTGCCTAGGCTTTTCTTTGGGGAACTAGGTCTTGTTGCAGTCACACTCTCATACACTCTTACCCACCCTGTATGTGTCAGGCAGGAAGGAACCATGTCACCAGGGCCCCAGTGCCAGCTGCCAACCCTGCAGGCCTCCCTGGCCAGCTATCAGAAGTGCTTCTCAGCAAGGCTAACGGGCCAGGATCCAGGCCTCCCAGTTCTCCCAGATCACGTCTATCACACGGAGGCTGGACAGCCCATAGAGTTGCACGCCCTACCGTTGCCCACGGCGACGGGCCACTGCCCAGGAGCACTGGTGTCTGCGCCTCAGCAGCGGTTGCGCGGGTTGTCATTCCCAGGGCATGCCCTAGCACACCCTCACTTTCCTGCCCCAGGCCCCGTTTGGAGAAGGGCTGTGGCTCAGGCTGGGTGGCGGTGCTCCGCCCGGGGTCCCTTCCCTGGGCATTCCAAGCTTTGTGTCCGTTCTCAGGTTAGACGGCTTATGGGAGTAGAAGTGAAGGAGATGGAGAGTCTTGCTCTTGTTGACTTGTTAATTGTTGGTGAATTTAACAGTGACAAATTACTTGAGCTGCATTTCATACCTGGTCATGACACGCTGTGTGTGGAAATCCAGGGGCTCAGACCAGGTGCACACCAAGCCACACACCCTCGTCGCCCTCACCCTGTGTGTCCTCCACTTTGGTCTTTTCTCCCCCACCCCCACCCCCCTGAATTGTCGCTTAGGGATGTCAGCTGGGAACAAAGCAGAGAGGAAGTGTTTTGGCCTTGCCCTGCAGCTGTGGGCCCTGGAGGAAAGGTGAGCAGCGGTCTTTGTGGACGCTCATCACAGCCAAATTGTACTGTCCTTTGGTGAGAAGAGGATGGGCAGTGGGCTGCCACCCAGGACCCAGTGGCAAGGCTGTGGAGCAATTTTTTAAGTGTTGCAAACCAGGTACCAACATGTTGAAAAGGAAGTTGCATTGAGAGTGACATTCCTTCACGAGAAGTTGCATTCTTGTGTGTGACAGCTGGAAACGTGGGAAAGAGGCAAGGCTATAAATCTCTGGAAAGACATCCAAGGTTTCCGGTCCAGCGACGGGTCCTGCAGATGTTCGTTTGATATTTTTTTCAGAGTCTAAATATTTAGAAATGAAGGTGGAATATTTTTCCGAGTGGGAAGACTAGGCCTGTCCTTTGCAAGTCCGGCCCTCTCCCTTTTCGGATGCAGGCACCTGATGCCCTTCAAGCAGTAAAGCTACCGCAGTGGCACCTACCTGTGTGTCATGGCAGAGAAATTCTCTGTGACTTGCACTTGGCAGTTAAGCAGGGTGGTGCGTTTTCACTCAGGAAAGAGGCCCGTGGCCTGCCTTCCAGATCTGGGAGGAGGGGCGAGGTCAGGAAGTGCTTGCTTTCTCGGGGAGGTAGAGCTACAGCTGCGTGTCATGGAGTTGCCTGGACTCAGAGGTGGGGATGCTTCCGCAGTGTGGCTTCTAGGGATAGTTAGGTTTTGGTCAGATGACCTGGGGTGGTTGAAAAGCAAAGCTGGCACGGGACTGCCTCCCTGGGACAGCCGCCCACTGTGGAGGTTGGGCAGAAGAGGAAGAACCGGAGGTCCGAGGTGGGGCCCTTGAGGGGCAGCGGATGAGGTGGGGATGGAGACTGTTTGGAATTTCCAAGTCTTGGACTGTGGTTTGTCCTTATTTTTCTGGAAAAGGACGTAGATGAAGTTGAGCAAACAGAGAGGTCTCATGGAAGAAAACAGGTTTCAGAATCATCCAGGCCTTGATTCAACCCCTAGCCTAGTTACTTTCCAGCTGTGTGATCTGAATAAACCACTTCCCTTATCTGAAGCTCAGCATTTTCACCATAGAGCTAATAATACCTATTTGGAAAGCTTATTGTAGAGTAGAAATAAAAAGCCATTTGACACGTGGTTTATGCTCAATAAAGAATTGCTATTATTGCTACTACCACATATTTTGCAAGCAGAGAGTTTTCCATCTTCTGGAATATATATGGTTTTAGGCTTAATTAAAATTTTTCTAAACTGGGCAGACCAAACCTTCCTTTAGAGGCTGTCTGACCACTGTCTTCTGGCTTGACAGCGTGTTAAGTCCTGACCTCCAGCCCAAGTGTTACCCAAAGCACAGCTCAGTAGTGACCAGGAAGATGCCACTGGCTTCTGCCCAGAGCCGAGATAAGGGAGTCCTGGGA